TGTTTACTGAAACATAAGTCTTACTGAAGTTAGTGAGACTTATTTCCATATATGTATAAGAGTGCAACTTTTAAAAAAGGTAATGTCGCATAATTATTGTAAAGTGAAAATATACAACCTGTTCATACTAGCTGAACATAGTTTACAAAATTTTGTACAAAGTAATTAAACAGTAGGGCTAAATTATAGATCTTAGGATTTAGTGTGAGCAGTTTCACGCATTATGGGAATATTGGTAATAGATTGTACAAAAAATTGCTGAACAGCATTTATCCCAGTGGCTATATTTTTATTTATTTATTTATATTTCAAATTTGTCACTGCCCATCTCACTGCAGAGCAACTCTGGGCAGTTTACAGTAAAACAGAATACATATTAATTAAAATAAAATATTAACTAATTAAAATACATTACAACAAGATTCCTATATACTACTTCCAAGAGGCTGATGTTAATTAGGTTTTAATAAACTCAGAGAGGGTCTTCAAGGCACCAGCCACCCCCAGGGTTGGTTGTATCTCTTCTTGACCCACGGAAGTTGGCAGAGCCAGGTCTTCAATTCCTTCCAGAAAACTGGGAGGGTAGGGCCCTGCCTTACCTCTCGGGGGAGAGTATTCCATAGGGTGGGGGCAACAGCAGAGAAGGGTCTTCTCCTGGGACCCGCCAGTTGACTGTCGAAAGCATAAAGTATGCTTTACCATTCCAAGACAACATTTCTCATGTGCATACATATAATTGGATCAACTTTGGTATGCTTAGAACTACTGAAATCAATAGGACAAGTTAATCATGGCTAAATTGTCACTGATTTCACTAAATCTGCTTTAAGTCCAAATGCAACCTATAGCTTTTTTTTTTTTTGGATGAGAGCATTAAACTCTAATTCAGTTAAACTCTTTATGTAATGTTATATGTCTGCATGAAAATGAGAAAATGCATTTCTGGCTTTCTACTTGAAGTACAACTAGAAGTTTTGGACCACATCTTGAAACAGTAGTTTTGTGTCTTCTCCCAAGTTTCCAAAAAAAGAACATAACTTTCCTGCAAGTGAACTGCCAACATCATTGAACGTTCGTAAAGTGGATTAAATATTGGGCATAAATCATAGTGACATTGCTCATCACTGTTCATGATTTCTAGAGATGCTGCAAATTGTACACTTGAAGGGCTACAAGTTTATTACTATTGGTCTGATGAATGCTGCTCAGTGTAAGCATGTCTGGTACTGTTGTGGGTAAAAAAATAACTTTTATCCAGTTATTCACCTGTCACTTTTAATTCTGTAGAGTGCCGACCTTTATTGGAATGGAATGGATGTGTAACTTTAGCACACCTAAACAATTGTCTCTCTGAAAATAAAAAAGAGTGAAGGCATTAAAACAAAGAGCTTCCCAGAGTAATGTAATCCACATAGAAATATTGAAAAGTCCTGAGCAGCTTTGTTGAATATGTTGTAACTTGATGTTAAAGTCCCACAAATGCAAGAATTAATTTGCATTAGAATAAGTCACTACTAAATACTAAATCAGTTTTCTTAACAGAGTTTATTGATGCACTGCAGAAATCATGCTACTAGCAGAATAATGTTCAGTTTTATTTTATTTTAAAAACTTGAGAAAAACATTTCCAGAAATTTTCATTCAATGTGAATGAGAAGAATATTACATCTATCAACACTGAAATATCTATTTTATTCTTCCTGAGGAAGCTTCACATTTTAGCAATAATAAGTATAATCTGTACAATATATTAATATTAGTTTTTTCATGTGCAGAATTGGGCAAATATTGCAATAGAAACATATGTATTTTCTTGGAGTGTGTGATAAACTTTCATGTTTCTATCCCTTTTATCTGACTCCCTTTAACAGATAGTCATAACACTGATTTTTATTTTCCCGTTTTTTACAGCCAACTTTCAAAGTCACTTCAATATTATTCTGTAAATTATGTAGAATTTGTGATATGTATGTGTGTCTGTTTCTCTCTGTGTGTATGTATATGTACATCCACATACATACATATGTATAAACTGTCACTTAAGCAAGATTCTGGATGCTGATACAGTTTTCTGAATGCTTTGAGACCAAAATTTACAGAATACCGGCTCACATTGTGGTGTTTATTGAGAAGCCTCTGCCACAGAACCACTGCATATTGCGGGGCAGCTCTTCAGGAACTTAATATTTTAGGGTAGCCTTTCACACACTTCTAGATTTATTGAATTCAACTCTCAGAATTTCTCAGCCAGCTTGGCCAACAATGAGAACTCTGGAGGTGGTCTGCATATTTGGAAGGTGCCAGTTGAAAGAGACACTTTTAGATGTACCCTCTGTTTTATGCAGACGTTCAGCTAATGAGATACCATTACTAAGGTACCACAAAAAACACATAAAAGTTTTTCGCAGGAACTACTGCGCTTCTGTAAAGAACAAAGTGAATCACTCTTCAGCAAAAATTTCTTTTCACAAATGAATGGGACACTGCATACATGTCCAAGAACAACTTTACATTTGTTCACAAAAAATAATGACAGAGGTGCAGTAGGAAATCTTGGGCATCATATTAAAGAGCACATTTTCAACTAGTTGATGGAAATTGGACTAAAGCTAAAGAAGTTTCCTAGCCCATAGAGTTTTCTAAACTGTGGACACCTTCCAACCCACATCAATTTGAAGCCTCCATCAAGAATATTTGAACTAAGAAAATGTTAACTTTGGCTGGGCAATATTTTATATATTTAAATAACTATACTGAATTAAATAGCACAGAACAATTTTCTTATTACAAGTATATATTTTAGCTTACGTTCATCCAATACTGGCCATATTTGATTTGAAGCACCATGGGACAAATGTCAGTAAGGTAAAATTGGATTGTAATAGTATTTAGATTTTACTCTTTGTAGTCTTTTAAAACATTAGTCAGTGCTAAATACTAGCCAAAATTTCATCACAGGTTCAAAATTAAAACTCTGCATATTGCTTTTGAAAGCAACAACAGCATATTACTTGTTTAAATTTATTTTTTATTTGTTTTATTAGCTTACAGTGTCATCTGAGGGCTTAGCAATAGGATGGATATGTCCAATGATTTCCCAGGAAGAGCAGAAGGCAGAAAAATGTTTGGTTTCTATCTTCTTTCTGTGGATGTTTTTGTTTGAGATTGTGATATAAATATTTTCTTAGTATGTGGGTATGGCAGAGAATGGAGTTTTGGGAGGACAAGATATTTCAGAATCAAAGGCCTGCTTGGTTGATTACTTGATTAATGCCTATCACACCCATTTTTAGCATTTATGATATAGTATACAATGTTGGGAAAAACTAGCAAGCCTGAGAAGTCTTTTCAGGTAGTAGCCATAACTGCAATTTTGAGAAATGTGAGCATTTTTGTAAATGGGAACATATCCAATGTATCCATCACCTCTTCTAGCCCTTCTTCTAAAAGATGCTTCCTATACCCTTCCCCAGCTTTCCTGTGGTCTCTTTCAGAGCAGATGAGCTAACGTCAAACAAAGCACTGGACTGCAGTGCCTACCGCTTCAATTTTCTAAGACAGCTTATGTGGCCCATCTGATGTCCAGAGACATTCTTGGAAACAAAGATAATGCTGGAGGATGAGACTTTGTTTCATAACATTCCAGCTTCCAATTTATTATAATAATAATAATAATAATAATAATAATAACAACAATATTTTTAAAACCTGGCTGATGTCAAAGGAGGAATTTATGGGCACATTAGCATCCTATAGATTCTTGGTTTTGATACGCAAATCATTTACATTACAAAACAGTATTGCTCCTGCAGTTGCTGAAGGCCCAAATCTTCCAAACGATAAATGGAATGAACACGAGACAGCAGACCTAGGTATCTCCTGTATCTAGCACTTTCCCTGGTCTTGACTAGATATGTAGTTTTTGCCCTGAATTAACATTCTACAAGCATAGCAGCTGAGTGACCTGTGAAGCTCATTGCAGACTGGACAGAGAATTAAGGCACCCTTTCATCTCTTCTAGAAATCTCATATCTGTTAAGGAGGTGGAAGGTTCCACAGTTCTATAAATTCTGTTGATAGGGCAAACAGATAAAATGAATTCTCATATATGCATATTCCAGTAATGGTAATTCTCACCCACTAATATTGCTCATTGGCTGATCTCAATAATTAAGCAGAGTCAGACTTAGATGGAAGCCATGAAAATGCCAGAGCCATGAGCTAAACTGAGGATTCACAAAAAGTGAAGTTCTGGAAGAAGGAAATAGCAAACTGCTTCTATATTGTGTTGATGTTGTCCCCAGGACTTAGGCCAACTGGGAGAAACCTTTACTTTTTAAAATATACATATTTTTACTCCAGATTTAATTATTTAAAATTGAGTTCCATGTTTAGAAATCAGAACTGTAAACTGGGAGTAAGCTTGGCATTTTGTGCTATGTTTTTGTCATCTTAAATAAGACACATCATTTTAATCCAACTATTTGAAAACTGAGCAGAGAGGCGGTAATTTACAAAATCAATATGAGACATAATATTCTTAAAGCGATAGGAATAAACTATGTAAAAAATGTAAATATTTGTTCCAATTTTGGAAAGTTATATAGATTTTCTCTTGAAACTTTAGCCAAACATTTGAAACTTGCTATTTGATGCCACATGTACATAGTGGTCTCTAGGCACAATCCATTTACCAACCCTATTGCACTGAGTAGGAGTTACATGATATATTTTCATATTTCTGAGAGAGCTCAAGGTCCTGATAGATTAAGCTTTGTGCTATCTCCATCAATCCTTAAATTGTTATGAAATCCCATGTATTGTCAGAGATAAATGCATACAATTTTTTAGAATCCAGCTGCTAATATATCACACAAATCTCAATCTTTTGTTTCCTGTTGAAGAGCTATATTTCCCAACAGTTCCTTTAACAGTTCCCAACAGAAACTTTAAGACTGCTCATATTTTAAATGAAGAAGAGTTCTCATAATGTCCTTGTGCTATCTCACTTTTTGCAACTCCTGTCTCAGCCACGATGGCAGTGGTTGTCCCAATTTGTGTAGCAGCTTTGACAGTTCCACATTGTGATCTCTGTAGTAGCTTGACAGAAAAACCCTGCACTGGTGGATACAAAAGCTGACATTTTATTTGATGAAATAATGCAGTTGTTTTGTATAGTACTATTTTTTCACTTATTTGCATCCGAACAATATATTCTTTTATAAATCAGTTTCAGGACTAAATATTAATAGATGACTAATGAAAACACAGACATTCTTATCCAGGAAGCCAGATAAGAAAGTATACATTAAGGGTTTCCCTTTCCATTCCAGTACCTAGGACTGAATATTTGTAGCCCTTTTTGAAATATTGTATTTGACTGATAAGCTGTTCAGGAAGAAGCATGAGTTGCAAGCTCAGTAATTCCCTTCCCCAAGCAACTAATCAGGGATTTTTAACCCATTTTTGAAAGGGCTCCTTTAGTATGAGGACTATATTAAATGCATATTAAATCTGTCAAGTATCCTGTGGGATTGTGGCAGGGTATACATGAAATAAATACATGAAATTAATAAAGAACCTCAGGACAACTTTTCAGCTAGTCTAGCTAATATATTTTAACATCGAATGATTTCATCCTCTGGGTTACTGGAGGGCTTATTAACTTACAGACTCATGGTACATGAGATTCTATTTCCTTGAGGTACCATTTTCTTCATTCTTTCACAAGATAAATATAGATGCAATCAGCTTCAACAGAATGGGAGCAGTTATTTATGATTAACAAGTAAGAGCAGATAAAATTAATTATTTTTGCCACAGAATAAGCAATTTTTACCACAATCCGTATGGATAGACAGACATAAAAAATGACACATTGGGCACAATTCAGTATGAGTATGATATTTTTAAGTGCCAGCAACTTAAAGGGCAAAATTTTTCCCCGTAAATGTATTTGTATTTCAAAGTGCTGGACTTTATCAGTTGTACATCTGAAAAAAGGGTTTACCTCAGAGTCCATTGGAGGGTATTTTCTGCCTTTGCTCTTTCCAAGACATTTTGTTTTTCCTTCTTCCAGAAGTTGACACCAAAAACCTTTGTGTGAGTCAAACCTGAAACATATACTGCATTTAAACCGAATAAATGCTTTCATTTTCTAATTAGGCAAATAATAGTCATCCCTTTTTATTGCCTTGTCTGCATAACCTTGAAACTACTGTAGGTTGACCTCCAAATGGAATTAACATGACTGGAAGCCAGTGATTCACCTACAAAGAGGACATTGCTACTGCTCCTCATTCATCATTTTTATAGAGGTCCAACTTATATTTGACAGAAGAGCAAGAAAATTGTTGCCTGTCTTCTTCATTGTCCTGGTATCAGCTGTTTTCCCCACACCTGGGAAGTAGAACAGCAGGAAAAAGACTACCACTTAAAAGAGAAGCCAAATGAGACAAAATACAAGAAAAATCTACATCTTATTGACAGAGCACATGCTTTTTATATTTCAGGTTTAGTCTCTGGAATCTCCAGGACTAGAATGGAAAAACTTTTGCCTGAAAGTTGTTGCCAGTTAATGGCAACAATACTGGGCTAGGCAGATTGATAATCTGACTCACTCTAAATTATTCCTCCAATTTGGCTCAGTATAACAGAGTTATAGAGAATATATACAACCATTAAAAAATTTCTGCATCATAAAGTTTGGCGCACAGAAGACAGACCATGTTATCAATTCCCAGGATTTTCCAAGTCAAGAAAATTAGACTGTAAAGAATTAGAAGACACACATATGGATTAGTCTTATATACTTCTGTCTTCCAATTTATAATTTACAGGTTATGACACATAAAAATGATCATAACATTCATATCTATGCATAATATAGATCAATGATCATCATGATACATTTGCTTGAGACCAACATGGGAATTGATATCATATATTGGATTGATTTGGATATTGTACTAAGACAACAATCAGCACATTTCTGGAAAGGAATCAGAAGACCATTGGCTTTCATACAGACAGACCTCCCCCACTACTTGATTTGAGCTGTGCTTATATGTGTCCATACTGAATAACTGAGGGGCAAATACCTCCTCACAAATATAGCACTAGAATGCTTAGTACACTGCTGTGTGTTCTAGGATTGCAGTACTTCATAGTATAGATTATTTTTGTGATATACTTGTGCCAAGATTGGGTGCTATTGGTTTCAGCAAAGATTCTTATTTGCTAGTTTATAAGCTGAAAGAAGAATATCCAAGGCTAAGGTAATTCAGAAAGTAAGTTTACTGGAATGATACAAGAGCATTTGAAAAAAAACAAGTTGTTTTAAATGGAAACAATTTAACAAATCATTTTGCACAGAAAAGAAATACATGCACTTGAATTAAATGCAGCTGGGAATGATTCTCAGCATTTCAGGTCAAGAGCTCTGATGTGAAAGAATCTGAAAGCTGACTAGAACTTTCCATTCTCTCTTTTGCCTAGGCTCAACTTTATCTCATGGAAGATAAAGTCAGTTTTGCCATACATGCTACAAAAAACCAAAAAACAGCACAATTGACTCAGAGGCATGAAATAGAGAACTGTCTGGGAATGGACACCATAGTATTTTGAGAGTTTCTTATGAAAATGGATATTGAGATCTCATACAAAGGCACAAACTAAGGTTATCAATCTCATTTTAAGGGCAAGTGAATAAATGTTTTAAGTTCAAATGGTCTGTGCGTGCCATTATTTATTGCAGACCCAGTGGATGCCATATGACTGACATTAGTATTGTGTCATTCTACCAAAGAAAAAGAAAAGCAGCTTTGGTTCTTCTTGCTTTTGGATGGCAAATCTTTTGCTGCTGAGCAAAGGGTGGAAAAAAGGCATATAATTCTATTTGCCAGTTTAAAAGGCAGAACCAATTTACTGGATGCAGTCCTTTCTTTGTCTCTGCTTCTGCCCACTCTGAAATGGTTCATTATATGCATTTTTAAAGAAAGATTTATGGAAAGTCCTCTCCAGTGGTGGTGGATAATTGCTGGTGTTCTTGTGAATTAGTGGAGTAGTACTTAAGAAAATCCCAAAAGAAAATTCTGATATTATCAAATTAATAATATACTTTTCAAGTATGTTAAAAAACAACAAAAAACACCCTTTTTTCAAAAAGTCATACATTTAACATTCCCCCTAAAAAAACATTCCCCAAGAACAATTATACTCTGGCTTTTACATATGAAATTTGACCAAGGCATGTGTCCATGTATATTGCTCTTTTATTATTCCTTTTGTAGAAACCACAAGTAAAACAGAACATTTCTAACTGTAGTTTCAAATTTCTTCCAAATCTTATATCCCCAATTTCTTAGCTTTGACAAATAAGTATTAATTATAGACTACCTGGTTCAAACATAGTTTATATGAATTTAAGTAGAGATAAAAGATTTATGCATATTTTGATTTATCAAGCCAAGTTACAATTGTATGAATTGCTTTGTTCTCAGAATAATTTATTCTGTACTATTTAATCATTTATAGTATGTTAAATCAATAAATAAACTCACGTTAGAGCTTCTGAATAATTATAATGAGGAGTAACTCCCAGAAACTTCTGCACTTCATCCATTACTATAGCCGGGTCATTTCTCAACTGCTGTCCATCGATAATTAGTAACTGCAAAAGAAAGAGAGAAATAAAATCAACAATCAATGCTGCATTCAAGATCTTATATACATCAACTTGAAACTCATTTTTTCACATATGGGAAGAGCAGTTTTTAAAAAGAAGAGATGTGCTACGTGGATAAGTTTTAAATCCATTCATATTTATCATCACTTTTAATGATTTGAAGTTCCATTAATTAAATATAAAATCGAGCTACATTGGAAACTGCTTGATTCACCAGTGGTGACTGAGAAATAAAGATGAGGTATCCAGAGAAACTAAATTGATCAGTAGGAAATTGAATGTGATTTGCCTTGAAAAATGCAATTATATGCAGCTTTCAAAATAGCAAACTATAAAAAATATGCTTATATATCATTTTCAGAATATCAATCATTGAGGGGACACTTATTGACATAAGCATAATGGAAACTCAGTTCTCTGGGCATGTAACGTACTTTATTTGCTCTATCACCATGACTGAGCAGCTATGTCTAGTATTTAAAACAACTATGCTGAAGATTTGGAACAGCTGAGAGACCAAGCATCATTTTCAGGTCTACACTAGTTGACAGTGCGATATGTACTCTGTGAACCAGATACAGTGGTACCTCGGGTTACGAACTTAATCCGTTCCGTGACTC